TTTCGTGACGTTTATGAGAATTTGAACATGCCTTATTTAAGCATTCTCCTCATTTGGGACTTGTAGTTTTTATTTATGTAAGATGTTTTGTCTGTTACAATGATTAGGCCTTCAACTACAAAGAAGAGTTTAGTAATCTATGCAGTGCCTATAGAATTATATTATGCTAAGGGTTCTCCGCACAACAGTCGCGATTTCTCCCTACTCATCAGGCGGTGCGTCCCCATCTTCGAGACTATCTTGATACTCAGCTCTGAGAGCATTATTTTACCCACAATACTCCCCACCATGTTGAGCGTTTTCAGGATACTTGATCTTCACCGAGAAGGCCAAATTGGTGTTTACATAAATGGTGCTTTTCTTTAGGTGTCAGCTTACCATTCTCTGCAAGTAGTTTGTTTCTGTCGACTTAGTTCACCAATATTGCTTTTGTCTTCCTGTGAGGTTACTTTTATGTTCAGTGGCTTGCAGTTTAGAAGGGGGTGATGGAATTTTTGGAAACGATCAATATCAAATTGGGGTTAGTGTTCTGTACTTTTTGGCTGAATTGACTGGCTAAGAAGCTCGCAACGGATTGGCATGGATCGGGTAATGTTGTTAGCTTGCCAGTGTCCATAGTAAAAGCTTATGATTAGTGTGACTGATTTGAGCAGGTTTATTGGCTCGAGGCAGCAGGTTTTGCCTATTTGGGGATTATGAACCGACATTGACTGAGTTGTGAGGAAGTACTCTTGACTACTGTAAGTGAATGAGTGAGGCGAACTTTTCATTCGATCCACTAAATGAAAGGGGGAGGAGGTAGATGTGGTTGTGATAGGGATCGCAGAGGGTTGAGCGAAAGTTCACTATTGAGATACTTCCTAATTGGAAATTGGTGTTGAATGCGGAAATAAGAGAGTAACGAAATGGTATTGCCTATTTCCTCATGAGCTCGTTACGACACTTGGTTGAGGCAATACACAATTTGTTATGCGCTCCATGCTTTTGTGTCACCTAAGGTAATATTAAAATCTTAGTAAAACCTGCATGATTGATGCTTAAAATTAAATAAATGTCTCGTATTAATGATCTGGAAGTAATTAAATTAACACGCTTTTAACTTGATTTGACGACAATATTAATACACCAGGGATAAAACTATTTTCAAATTCTTTGTCATTGAGAACCAGCAAATCCACTAGATTCTCTCCCGAAAGACGTTGCTCCTTCATGTCTTTAGGATTTGTAGATATATTTAGGGAGATGAATTCATCTAGTTTCCCCATTTTAACTTTCTATTTATTGCTGAATTAACAAACTCTGGAGAAAGTAGTCATTTCGTTTCAAATGCCTTATAGTGACAATAAGAATCTAATTCTACCATTAATAATACATTCAAAACTTTGTTCAACAATGAAATCGGTCTTTTTTTGTTACCATTTATTTCTATCAAATAATATTAGTTTTCGGTAATTTTGCACAATAATTCATAATTAATGCATTTGAATAATTTAAAACAGTGTCTGCAGCTAATACATTATTCTATTAGATCGATATGTCGGCCAAATTTCAGCACCAATTTTGTTTGTGCTTATTAAAATGTAGGACTTTGTGTACGCCGCAATTTACGTAATTGACCCCAGGCATCTTTATCTGATGCAATGCTACATGAACTCCTTTTCAGTTTGCTCGGATATTCGGGTGATATTTGCACCGTAATGAGAGAAGGCAATTCATCTGCAGATCCAAAGTGCCGAATCAAGCTTATTTCAGAGAAACTGCCTTTTATTACTCCTTGTGAAATTCACTTGATCACTCAGATTCTCGAAATTGCTGGAAGCTATGTAAGGTTGAAAGATTTCATCAAGAAATTCACCCTTCCGGGATCGGGAAGCGTATATCTATCCAATTTGGCCTTTGCAATGGATGAGGTTTTGACTGAGTACCGTGATATGTTAGCATCAGTTGAAGCTGATTTACTAGAAACTCCATCACTAGGAGTGACATATATTCTATCCAAGGTTGAACCATATCGGTCGGTACTTCATAATCTCTGCAAAATTCTCGAATGCTCTGTGAAACGGTTTCAGCAGAATAAATGCATTCTTGACTGCCTTGTGCCTATCGAAAGGTCACCGACAGTCAATGTTATTTGGCACCATTTACTTCGTGTTTTTCGTAGTCAACTCTCAGAGTGGCTGATTTTTGGAAGTGTTAATGATCCTTATGGCGAATTTTTTATTAATTCTGATGGTGAATTCATCGCTGACAAATATCCAACCATTTTGCCACCCTCGCTTGTGAATGATATTCTATTTGCTGGTAAAGCTGTTCAAAAAAGTGATGAGCATCTTTCTCAAAAGCTGGAGGAGAGATTTTTGGAACGCTTCGAAGAAATTGCACATACTGATCTCTTGGGTGATTACGATGCAGAAGTGGAGAAAGTTGTTCACGAAATTTGGGAATTTATCTCAGCAGAAAGGTGGCGACATATGTCGGAGGATTATGGATTGTTGGAACATTTGAATCTTGTTAGAGATGTGTTACTTCTTGGCAGAGGCGAATTATTTGGGTCCTTCTTTGAGAACCTGCTTGTTGGTGGAAGATACATCCTCGACTCCCCGATATCTACTTCCGCAACTGAAGTAAGGAATCTTTCCCATGCAGTGAATATCGCTTTCTTGTCTGCAGCTCGTTCAGTGGGATTTGATGAAGAACGTCTAACTCAACGCTTTAAGTAAGTACACCATTTTTTCGCTTTTTATTACACTTTTTTTTACTTAATCTAAACCGGTAGGACAAGCAGACTTATGGCTTTACTGTTGTGAAATAGGGGGAGGAGGAATGGTTTTGACCTTGAAATTTGGAATCCTTTTTTATTACTTTTTTTGAGAAATAAAAGAGTCGTATTTGCCACTCTTTTCAAACTTGATTTATTTTGGCTTCGCTCAAGATCTTTTGCATCTGGTTACTTAGTTCCTGTTATGATCAGAGTAGGAGTATTTGATATAGCTAATCTGATCGTTCGGTTAGTATTTTACGAAAACTTAAAATTAAGGGAAGTAATATCATTTTGTTTTTTTTTGAAATTCTTTATTGCTTTAAAGCTATTTTTAATTCGCCAACATTTTAGATTTTTTCAAATTCCTAGTGGGTGCTTGAGGGTGGAATTGATTTCATGGGCTAATTTTAAGTCTCTTTTCAAGACACCGATGCATTAGCATTGAAGCAAACCAAAGAATATCTCTCTCCAATTCTTTAAAAAAATTAAACTCTTCACATTTATTGACATTTTCATTTTGTGTGAAGGTAATTCGTATTGAAGAAAGGTACCGGGTGCTTATTTGGGTGGGGGGTTATTTAGGGTTAAAAGTTAAAAAGCAGTCTTACAGCTTCTCTCTATTTGGGAGTGAGGATTGTCTCCCCCCCATACGGGAGGCGTCAATACGCGCTCTGGTCGCACGCAAGCACACACACGCACGCACGCATAGATGTAAAGGCATCTATATTTTAGTCAAATATTTTACTTCTGTATTATCGTCCATGGGTGCTTATTCGGGCGGATTTTCGGAAAATCTTGTTAATTCAATTGTCCCATTTTCTTCATTTTAGGCTCATTGTTTTAATGAACCCAACCAAGGAGATCGAGACAGCTCTTTGTTCTCATTCAAATGGCATCCAAATGCCTACATTCACGTCTTGGGACTGCCTTCGGATTGACTTTATTTCAGTTCCTACCGGGCTAGAATCAGTCTTTACAGAATCTGCTCGCATTTCATACTCACGTCTTTTCACATTCCTACTCACAGTACGTAGAACTCAACATCTTCTCAAAAACACTTGGAGAATTCACAAGCACACTGTGCCTTCTCGACATCTCTTCCAAAGAATGTTGTTTTTGGTCGATCATCTGCTGTCATACTTACAGGCAAGCTATTTTGGCACATTCTTACGAGGACGTATAACAATAATGATAATAGTAATAACAATAATTGTAATAGAATTCAATTTTGTAGACTGACGTGATTTCTGCAGAATTTAACAAACTCATGAAGACCTTTGAAGGCGTTCAGTCAGGAGAAAACAGTTGTAGGGACCTTGGCAATGTGGAAGCTTTTCATGAGAAATTTTTAGCCGATTTGGAATCTCAATCCTTCATGCATTATGACCAAATTTTTTCTTTGATCCTCCAGTTGCTACACGAGTGTCGAAAATACTGTAATTCCTGTACTATTCAAGCGAAATCTGCTGAAATAGTGACTTCATTCGACCATCTGGCGTACAATCTTTTTTCGGCCCTTTCTGCAGCGTCAGCTATGACGAGCTCTGGTGCAACGCATCTTTCTCAACTTATTTTGAGGCTGAATTTTAATAACTTCTTTTCTGGGCTGTCAAATTACCAATCGGTAGTGTAAATATCCACCCTGTACCTGTTTTAACCCCACTCCCGTCGATTGTGCTTGATTACAATCTATTTTAAGAGAAAATGCATTTAAAATTAACATTTTTCTTCGTAAGCCAGTTTAGTTGCTAAATGAGAAGTAATCATGAAATTATGCTTAGATTAAAATTAATAGTTAGGAACGTATATACATTGTGGGACACGTCGTCGCGTGCCTGCACGCCAAGCTTGGGAGGTGCGACCGTACAAACAGTGACCAATCATTAACCTCAGCTTATTTAACCTAATCCGCCATCCTGATCTTGATTAAGCTTCCTGCGTGTACACTTGATCCGCAATATACTTACTGAATAAACGTGCTCCGTGCTACACGTCTGTTTCCCTTATAGCTGGGCTATAGCTAGCTGGTTCTGGGAGTCTAGCTAGATGTCGGAGAACCTGCCATCGAGATTTCTGAGTGGGTCAGGCTTTACTAAGGTAGCCATCCGCTACAACATCCATGACTTGGGCGCCTGTTTATACTTACCACTCATTGCATTCTCTAAACATTTCTGGGGCATTAGTGTTCTAAGTTTGGCGTAGTGATTTAGTGATATTTGGAATTCCTAAAGGGGAAAGAGAGGTCAACTTTCAGGCCCTTCGAAGAAGAGTTTCTCAACACAGGCAAAGAGGGGACACAATTGAGTCACCTTGGTGATAGACTAAAATTTCTGCCATACCAACTTATTAGTCAACTATAAGGATTGTGCCTGTTCATTGGATGTACATTGATGTACAGAGAGCCTAGTGATTTTCGACTTAGCAAGGATGTGTCACCAACTCAATGTCGGTCCAAATAGAAAATTAATCAGTTTTCAAACGATTCGTATGACTGAATCCATTGGAGGAAAATCATGATTGAGTTATCGTTGGTTACATAAACCAGAGAAGTAAATACTTCTGGATAAAATTCAATTTTTCAACCCACTGCAGTCCATGATATCATGATGACAATTTGGAAATTGCAAATGCTGATATCTTACTCATATATAAGAAATAGAGTTACCTTAAGATGATGAATTGCTTGACTATTGAAGCAAAAGGCACCTATGAGCTAGAAATGGATGACTTTAGTAAAATTTTAGTTGTTACGATTTCACCAGTATACAGAACGCTTTCTAGCCAAAACAGGTGTAATGACAAAGAGCATTGTATCAAACTCCAATCATGTCAGTTCGCTAGAGGCCGAGTGCTAAGTCTTCATATTTAAGTCATATTCCTATGAATTACCGTGGGGTATGCGATAGACTTACCTCCACGTGGTGCACCCTGGGCGACGTATACTCATACGGCAAAAAAGTCTATTAACCGGCAGTTGAATTCAGACCCCAAACTACCACCACCCCACTGTATGTCGAATTCAATAACTTCAACCGTACTCACCTCACCTTTTTCCAACTTTCCGTCTGTCACTTTTACATCTTTGAAACACTCTTCTGCCCCCCCCCCATCTCGACCTTTTTCACTTTGATGTTCCTTCCCATCTGTGGAGCCTGAAGTCAACTAAAGGGCTAATGATAACTATCAAAACGCCTGCCAATTGATATTAATAAATAAATAAATGAATTACCGTTATAAGTGATCAACCTGTCACCCAGAGCTTGGTTGCTCCTTACTTTGATAAGGGAAACGTGATTAGTGATATTGGTAGGCATGAACCAAAGATATCTATTAGCGGGCTAACACTTGGCTAAGTGTTGAATAATTTAATAACTAAATGATAATAGTTCCCATAAGCTAAAATTTAATACAGGTATGTAAAAACCATATTGGATCAACATAAATAGATTATTCTAATCAATTTTGAAAAGTTTAAAATTGAAACTAAACTATTTTATAATATAAAATATATAACGCTGTAATTATGTTCCTTTCTTCACAAATTTAAACCAAATCTTTATATTTAACCTAAAGTCAAACAACTGAACATAATAAATAATAATGGTAATGTTCTACCTTAAAAAGTCCCTTAATCTTAGAGTTTTGCCATGTGAATCCTATGTGTTATACCTGACTCATAATAAATTATAATCGCAGTAGTGCGGGATTTGATGTGTGTATGTGTGTGAATGATTATGGAAAAAGTTGACCTCGAGTTCTTAGAGTTTTGGAATACACTCTCTAATGTATGTATTTAATTATGTTTTAAGTGTTTTCTTATAGAAACCAGATACAACAATCCGATTGTTTGATCGTGGCGTACGTATTAAAATATGTAATGATATATTCTGTAGGAGAATTATACTGTCCATTTCAATGATGCACTCTTTATTGCCCAAAATTTTTATAAAAACTCTGGATCTGTTAGAAATCTAACAGTTGGAGGGAGATCTGTCCCCTCATTATTGATTCCAAAGAGAGATAAGGATATCTTCCGCTTCATTCTTTTATCCAAACAATATCGCATTGAACTCTATTCCTTAGAAAATGGAGGGTGGTTACTATCGAATCAAGCTTCACCCGGAAATCTTACCGAGATGGAAGATTTCTTGTTCTCATCGGAATCGGAAAGTGAAGATTCTACTCTTCTTTCAATCTTTGTCAAATTTTCCAATGATGAATGTGTACGTCCTATCTTAACTTTTTTCTGATCTTATTAGATTATTTCTCTGGCGTTTTGTCACTTGGAAGATCATCGCTTCTTAATCGGGCAATTCGTTGATTCCAGCCTTCTACCAAATTTAGAGACAGCTATTCTTCAACTCGGTGTTAAAGAATGCATTGTTCCAAGTGGTCTTCTTACTGGTGATGCAAACACCTCAAAACTGAAAAACTCCGATAGACCAGGCCATCTTCCATACTTACAGCTGATTCTTGAAAGATCGAATGTTCTAATTACTGAATTGGACAAAAGTTAGCTTTTTATTTCAACTTAACTAATTGTCGACCTTTAGCCGAATATTTCTCAAGCGATCCCTCTGATGAGTTAAATATGCTTCTCAAGCGTGGCAACGCGTCTAATGTGGATATTCCAAATTTATTTCGAGCTAGTAAAATACTTTCGCTTGCTTTTACTAATCCCACTTTAGAATCGGAACTTGTCGAATCATTTATGTGTCTTGGAGCTATCTTCAAATTCCTTCGAGTATGTTAATAATAATTAATTTATATTTGATTTGCGATTGCATGCATATTATTTTCTTCTTGATGTGCTTTTCGGACATCATTTTTTCCTACTAGTTTTATTAACTAAAACAACGCAATAAGGCTAATGGATTTTTTAATCTCAGACGAATATCTGGTAAAAGAAAGAGGTTTTGTCTCAGATTTTGGGGTCTTTTTGGTCGTTTATTTTAATTCACTTTTGTTTGTTCTATTGCTTCGATCAGAGTGTCGCAACGAACATGAATTTAAATATTACAGAACTCACTACGTTTCATTCAAGATAAACTTAGAGTAATGATTTTTAGTTTTGTATTAAAATGTCTTGATATGAGTCGATTTTAATGGGGGGTAATATTCATCCTTCAATTACTGTATATGCAAATTTTCTCCCCCTTCAAGTTAATCTTTTTGGGGGAAACATAGCGTATTAATTTATTTCTCCCATTGACAATTTTCTAGACATTACTTTATTTGGCATACTTTCTTTGTTCTCAAATATCTAGTTTTCTAGGTTATGCAGTAAGATGCGCAACTTTAGAGGTTGGGGCGGGGGGGGGGGGGGGGGGGGGGGTGTCCGAGTCTCACCATGGAGACCCGAAATGATCATTGGAATATGCCTTCCTAAATGGGTTTGAGAATTAACAATAAACTATTATTTTTAGCGCAATCGCTTTTATCGATTTTCTAATTCAGCCAATTTGAACCTACATTAATGCCGCAGATCTTCGAGAGGGAATGTCTAGTCTAATTTACATAGCATTTAGAGTTGTGTAGATAGACAGACCTCGCCAGTTTGAGCACTTACAGGAGTCAACCTTCGCGTCTCAAAGGGGTATTTTCAGGTGGTCCAACAGATACTGCTGGCTCTATTTATCGATATTTTTACGCCAAGTAATCTGCAGAGTTGCCAAGTTAAATAAGGCTCTTAGGTTGTGGTTAACATTTGCTGTGAAGTATTGGTTATTCCTTTTACTTTTCTTCATAATATACTTAATTTACTTCGTTTAGCTTCAAATATAATACTTATTTAACTGTCCGCATTCACATGGGGCCCCATTTCATCCCTCAAATATTCTCTTAATTTGGCTACATGGATCATTTTCCTCTATTCCATATTTTGTCATTTTGCCATAATTATAAACTGCCTCAATAATTGCAATTCAGATAAATTTAACTCTCCTATATTGTAGTGTGAATAGGGTTATTTGAAAATCGGCCGTTTTCCTTGGACATATTCAGCAATTTCTTTCTAACTGACTGACTTTCCATTTTTAGCTTCAGTCAAATGAGGCCCTTTTCCACACCTTTACGCTCTCTCGATTTTCTCTGGACAACCATGTTCGTTTGGACAGTGCGGCACTAAACGCTCTTCATTTGCTTCCAAATTCCGGTGGATCAGGTATTTCAATTTGTTATCCTTGTCCATTTGACCTCATCATTTTCAGAGAGTTTGGGATTGTGACCTAAACCAACCCTTCCCCCCCCCACACCTCCCCTCCTCCTATTCGTATGTTATTAGTCATATAGCCTGTGTTGGACCGTGAAGGCACTCGTTAGATAATTTGCTTCTATTTTGAATACTCATTTAGGCGCAAATTTCAACGCATGATACATTTTCACAGAACAAATTATTTTTGAAACCTAATTTTAAGTCTTAATCACTTTTTTACATGGATTCGATTTTAACGGGTTTCCATTTTACCTATTTTCTGTTTAACGATAAATATAGCATTTATAAGTATGCTATAAGGGTATAAAGTATAAGGGTACTGAAAAGAATGTGCGAGCCATAGTATTCTGGTAGATAATGGCTTAACAGGTTTTGCCTTTTATGACTTGAGTACTCGCAAAAATAATGCCTTTGAAGTCACTGGAGTTCGTTATAATTGGAGGACAGTGAGGCGGTACTAATACTCCACTGGCCATTTTGTTTGGTACAAAATTATCAGCGAAAAGTGATGTGAGATCATTGATGAGGTACATCTACGTGGATTTGAACGTTGCTTTACACTCGCCCCCATTGGTTTTCGAACTTAACTTTTCAAAGGGTTTGAACCGCTAAATCAGTACAGTTTATCGCTAAAAACTGTTATTCTACCTTAATTTCCATGTCTCTTTTTTGCAAAAAAAATTGATCGTTCAAAATGAATCCACTTTGCACGTCTATAAAAATTGGTTTATTGACACAAAAATTTCATGTGTCTGCCTATTAAATTGACGTGTTCTTCTTTAGTGAACAAATACGACAGCGTGTACGGCGTACTGAACCACTGCAGGACACCTCAAGGCCAACGTCTGCTTGCACAATGGCTACGTCAACCTCTCACTGATGTTGCCAAAATTAGTAAGACTACTTGAATATTTTCAGTAGCGGATATTTTTGCGAAGTCTTACCAATGCCTCCCATTTACATTAGATGAGCGCTTAGATTTGGTTGAAGCTTTTGTTGAAGATAGTAGCCTTAGACATATCTTTCATGAGACATTCTTGCGTCGTGTTCCTGATCTTCCACGACTCGCTAGACGACTCCAGATGTCCAAAGCAAAGCTTCAAGTAAGTAGATAATTTCAATTGAATGATTTTCTACGATTTGTTTTTTTATAACTTTATTCCTTCTTACTTTTTAATTGTGATTCGTAATCCAAACTAAAAAGTAAAATAGATTCAAATTGGTGCTGTTTATTACGGTATTTTTAATTTCTAGTTAATGGAGTGTTCATTGTTTCTTAATTTTGATATGAATAAGTCTAGAATGCATTTTTTCTACCCAAATTAAATGCGACCATCTTGACGGATTTGGAAGGGTTTACAAAATGATAATTGGTTAATGATGATTATCTGTAGCTGGAAATCCATTTAATTACGTTTTCTCATTTCCTCAGACTGAAAACAAAAATGATTTTCATATTCTGGAATGGTGAAGTATTGATTTCATTTGGCACAGTTCACCAGGCTGTGAAACAAAGATGCGATTATAGTCTTATAAAGGCTCGTAACCGCTCGCTGAGAAATACTTGAATTAATTGTAATTTTTATCGTGACAAGTTAAAAAGACTTAGAGAAGATGAGTTAATTTGTAAAACAAGGAAGTATATCTTAGGAGAGTCCGGGATCTCTATTTGGAGAACAGATTGAAAGTAGGATGTTCAAACATTGGGGCTCTAATTCCTTGACTTCTAATTCTAGTACCCATTCTATTTTAATAAGCTATTCGCTCCTCCATGCTCTATTTTTCCCCCTAATTTAAATTTAAATACAGACTTTTGCTTTGCCATTGACGATAAACAAGTTTATAAATACTCCTCCTTCGTTTTTTTACTATAATTGACAGTACCTTCTCTTTCCTCTCATTCTATCGCTCCCGACCCCTCCTCTATGAGGTTGTTACATTATTGGGTGTGGAGTTTCTTTACGCTCATGCTCCAATTCCAATATATATATATATATATATATATATATGCTCGGGTAGTGTCTAAATTGGTTTTTGAACTTGCGGCATTTGTGGTCTAGGTGATTTGGTTCAATAATTTTTTGACTGACTGAATTTGAGTAGGTGGTTAAGCTCTGACAGCGGTGTTTTTTTTTAAATTCTGGAATTGATTTAAACATTAGGCTCTTTTTGGACCCGAGTACCCTGGTGACAGTAGATGTTTTTTTGTGTCTTCATATCTCCAACACTATCATATCCCAATTTAACAGGCGCGCACGGACGTCTATATTAGCTATTCGTCTATTTTCTATTTTCCTTGAATATTTTACCATTCCTCGTATCCTCCAAATTTAGTTGATGTTAAACTTTCCACATTTTCAATGACTGAATTATCTCTCTCCCCCTGGGTTGGGTCAGTATCGAACTTCGAGAATGGGCTCGCTATGACTGCGATTCGTTGGTTGAAAAGCTGAGCTCAAAACCAGCAAATTCCGTCAAATTATTCCATTATGAGTGTCGGCATTGAAAAAAGTGCCTTTACTAGACAAATATGTAGTTACCGGGTTGCAAAAACGAATAGCAGCGGACTTAAGTAGCAAATGGTATAATGACAAAGATAACACGGAGATGTCAGATTATGCCCTCTTGGTCGTGGTCCTAGGATGCCTCCTCTGTCGACTTACCGATAGAACTCCTGGAAACGCTGACTCTCAGTTTTAGTGTTGCCAATTAGTAAATCTCTGGTGCCACCGTTGCATTTACCATATTTTTTTTTTGTTTTAATTTTCTGGTGGTTAAAAAGCAACATCATTTAAGAGAAGTTTTTGATTCACAATCGCCTTAGTGCAGACTTCTATTGCTGCGTAAGGATTACAAATGCAGAGCTAGTGTGGATTCTATTGCAATTTAATGAAAATACTAATCTGAATCGGTGACTCATCTATTAAATTTAATTAACTAGCCTCTGCGAACATGAATTCACTCGGGAAATAAGTAATAAACCCTGAACTTTGAGTATTTCAACATGTGGACTCAAGGCAGTTGACTGTGTGCTAGGAATAAAAAAGAAACACCCAATTTGAGTTGAAAGGTAAAAGGAGGGTGTACATGACTTTAAATGCCTAAATTCTATTCGACGTTTCACATGATATCCCCTTCCTTCACCTCACCGGTTTCCAATGCTCAAATACGACAGCAGGAAGAAACCGTTTGTGTTTCGTTGCTTTATCGTTGGTACTCTTAATATTGCACGTCTATTGCCTTTTTTCTTCGATATTTCATGTATGTACCGTTCCCTTGCCTACTTGGTTCCATATTATACTCCTAATTTGACTCCCTTTTTCCTCATTATTCATTAAGTGCCAACGTTTACTCCAGTTTAGCCCCACTTTAGTGAATTAAATTATTAGCTAAAGCACCGCATAATTCTTTCTCTTTGATATATCAATTCGGTGTGCTTTTTATTGACAGTAAATGTGTAACAGGTAGAGGTGAGGGATGGGGGGGGGGCGGGAATAGACAAGATTGGTTCAGCTGTGCCTTCCTTCCTCTTTCATATCATTCCAATTTTTTTAGCCAATGTCGTAACTTCTATAACAGCAACTGAGCCTGTATCTACAACAATGTAGAGGATCAAGTAAAGCCCATGGTCTTTTTCGCATTGCTGGAAGATATTCGGCATCTGAAATTTCAAAGAAAAAAAAACCTATGGTTAATTTATCCTTCCTTCTAGGGAATGCTATATCCAGGCCTATTTATCCCTATCTGCATACGCCTTATCCTATCAGTGCTATGTTTTTTTTTATTTTCCAAAGCACACTTTTGTCCCATTTATATGGAATGTATTTTTTGTACCTCTAGGCTTCACTTTAGGGAGTCTAAATTATCCGAATTAGATATGATATGAGGTTTCAAAGGAAGGGTTCGGCATTTGAAATGCGTATAATCCAGTCTACTTAACAGAATGTATCAAATAGATATGAACGCGTATAACTTACCCCAAGATTCGTCCATTGAGGGTAAAAAGAGTTCAATATCTCTTGCTGGGGCTTGATGAGACGGGGTTTGCTCTGTGCTGGATGCGAATTCTGACGAAGTGTCGGGTATTTGCATACGTCTTCCCTCAACTCGACATGAGGTTATTAGTAGAATGGTAAAGAGTAATTTGATCAAGAGTGGTAAATCTATCAGTTCCATCGTCAAATGTGAAATTTGATTGCGCGTTTGTTTAAATTAACTCCTCTGGCCAATTGGATGTAACTCTCTCAAATCGCTCAACCAATGAGCGTTTTAGCTATCAGTTTTATCATATTAACTATATTTATTGCATTTTTTGCTTTCTAGGACGTTTATCGAGTTTATAGAGTGGTGGGACTCATGCCCGAAGCCATTAGCCATTTACAAAGAAGCGAGAATCGTCATTCGGACTTGTTGGAGCACATTTTTGTCAGAGATCTTCAGGTTCGTTCTCACAGTCATTTTAACTTTCATTTTCCCACTTTCTTATTTAATTTTAGACAGCGGCGGAGAATTTCAGTAAATTTATGCAAATGATTGAATCGACGTTGGATTTGGAGGCTGCAAAGGAGGGCGAATATATAATTCGATCGGATTTTGACGATGAGCTCCAGTGTGAGTTATGAGTCTGTGGAAATCATTTCAATTTTTTTATGAGATTTTCTTTACATCGGTATTTCCCGCCATGGTTAGTCGTTTCAATAACATTCTACCGGTTAACCAAATATCTGTTCTTTTATTAAAATGCTGATCTGAATTGGAGTAGCACTTTTCATGTGCAATCTTTTGAATACACTGTTCTATAATAAATCTTGTTCTGAGTATTCTCTGGTGTTAACATATGTGTGGCCATCTGAACGCTTAATTTTTCCTTTGTCTTGAAAGCTTCTCCAAATTTTGATTTGTTGAGGCTTCATACTTTCCCATTTAACTTTGACCCGAACGATTTGTAAATTTGAACCCATATCATCTGCAAAAAAAACACATTGGTACACCACTTGTCCACTTTTCATTGACCAAATAAACAGAGGTGATCTTTATAACCCAAGTCTACTAACACACGCTTCGTTGGGGACTTTTAGCTTGAAACTGATCCTTTGACTGTTGTTTTGTATATGGCTTTTAGGGTCATTTGATCAGGCCGGTAAAAGCCCTTGGTTTGTTCCTTGGAACCCACTCATTTCGGCCAATTGTCCTAAAGTGGATTGTTATTTGAATATTAGTCTAACACAACCTCACCAGGGCTGTGTAAAATTGCTTACTGTATGTTGTTGCAACTGCAAATTTCCTATTTGCCCTGCTATGCGTTGTAGGCTTCTATTGAAAAAGAGAATATTCGCGCCTACTTTTGAGCTCTAAATAAAAATTAAAAGGAATTTTTATCTAGTTTATTTTTTTTTCTTTCTATTTATGCTTGTTGCCTAGTGCTTAGAAGAGCCTTTCTTATGCAAATCGAAGTCCCAACTAGTTCAATTTTTGTTTGTAGGGATTATTTGGCAATTTCCTAATTATCTTATTCTTTTCAAAGCTTTAATAAACAGGGCTTATTTTGCAGTTAAATCCAGATTATGATTATTTATGACGTCTTATTTATTTTTTTATTTCTACAAAAATTGAGTATATTTTTTTTGGAGTTTGTACAAACTCTCACTATTTTGTTATGCATTAAAATAGCACTGAATTCCAAATTAAATACAAAGTTCCCTAAAGTGAAGCTTTTCCAACGCTAATTTTAATCAGAGGAGGGGTCTGTAGGCTCTGTGGAGAAAACGTAGTCCCCTATGCCAATTTTGACAAGTTTGCTTTGGGGAAATGAATGATATTTATGGGGTCGCCCTTATTGTAAATTTGCATTCAACCAATCCCCGTTCGATTAGAACTGACCATTGTGATTGGCTACCCACGCAACTGAATGTGTTACTTTGACTATAGACCCCGTGGTGTCCAATTTATCTCTATCGTGTACGTGGACCAATGCATGGGAAATTTATTCCTTTCCTCCTTCCTTGATTTGTTTTAACAAATAGGGTCAATATAGTCATGTTTTTCCCAATGTATTTTGCTCCCTGCAGATGTTTCTGTGTTCACCACTATGCCAAATTTTTTATTATTATTTCAAATGGCAGGCGTTTTGAATAGATATCATTAGCCCTTTAGCTGACTTTGGGCTTCACAGAGGGGAGGAACATCAAAGTGAAAGAAAGTCGAGAGGGTGGGGGNGGTGAGGAGGGAGACACATTCCATACCAACACTTAAAAGAGATGGGAAATTGCCTGATCACATTTGCCCAACGAAAGTAAGGCCAAACAATTATCTACGACTCCAATTACTTATTTATATTAGTTCTACTAAAAGGGTGAGAGAATATGCTGCCTTATATCGTATTTCCTCTTCCAAAATGGATTAACGAAAATTCCCCTCTTCATTAATAACTTTTGTTCTGAATTTTTTAGGTTCAGATCCGAGGATATCATGATCCTGTCAAAAACCCCAGCGTGCCTTATCAATTTGTATATGCACTCGGAAGTAACTGGAGAAATCTGGTTCCTTTTGCTACATTCAGATTTGAAACTCAATTGCCGCAGGAGGTAAGAATGGCTTGTTATAACAAGTGGCAACAAAAAGTGGTATTAAAGCAAGTAGAACGATAAACATTATAAATTTGGATATAAAGGAAAAAAAATCGAATGGTTTTAATTTTTGGTGTTACTCAAATCATGATAGTTTATTTATATCAAATGGCAGGCGTTTTAATGGTTGTCATTAGCCATTTAGTTGACTTCAGGCTTCACAGAGGGGAGGAACATCAAAGTGAAAGAAAGTCGAGACTGGGTGGGGAGGGAACAAAAGAGTGCTTCAAAGACGAAGGTAGAAAAGGTAGATAGAAGGTGAGATGCGTACCATGGAAGTAGTCGAATATGACATACAGTGGGGTGATGGTAGTTTGAAGTCAGAAGTCAACTGCCGATTAATGGACCTTTTTGCCGTATGAGTAAACGTTGCCCGGGGTGCACCACGTGGAGGTAAGTCTATCGCACACCCCCACTATGCCAAAATAGTATTCCTAGAAAATATAAGATGCTTTTCTCAAAGTAATTATTTTCAATTCAAGCACTTGTGACTTTCATGTAGTTCTTGATTATAAAATCTTTATCTTTTTACTGAGTTCAATTCTGATGTTTCGTACTTTTATTCCAAGTACTTACGATTGGGCTACTACAATCGTAGTGAATAGTAATAGTAAGCAATTGTTTAAGCAGGTTGTAGTGGATCGACCAAATTAATGCAAATAATGAACTTGAAGGGGACTATTGAAGGTGGCAATAAATGTATCAACTAGCAACAGTTAGGGCGTGTTTACAATAAACCACGATATGGAGTCAAGAGAGTAGAAGAGATAAGAAGAATTGTCAGATTGTTTATGGAGGTTGAAATTTTTCAATGACCTCGGACATCTGTAAAAAAGGAGGATTCGATTTGCCTCGACATGACAAATAGTCATTTGAGACACAGAAGTGGAAAGTATTGTTGCACTCTGGGTGGAAGAGCGTGGCTTTCTTATTGGGAATGTGTTTAAAGAATAAGTTTAGAACTTACGCATAGGCTGAGTGTGGTACTTCCTTCGATAGAGTTAATAAACTTTTGACTTCTAGATTAGACTTGTTACACTCTAAAAATATCTGTTTCAGCTATTTTCTGATTTTTTTATTCTTTTCAAGGCATAAAAGACCGCTTGGAGACTGTGGAGGAGGATATATTACGAGAGTTTGAGGAGGTAAGTCAACCGCTCTTTTCGTATTTCAGCCCCCCCTCCCCCATTGTTTAACGAATTATTTATACCCTTCTAACTACATTCTTTCACGCACTTCGAGTTGGTTTGAACTTAAAAATATGCACACCGAATTGCTTTTCTTGCACCGAAATAGCGCTTTTATTGATGAATATTTAAGTATATTAATGCTCACACACACACACTCATTCACGCACTCCCCCGTTGCTTAGCTAATATTGTCACTATGGAGGAAAATGTGGAGTGTAATTACAAACAATGAACGCCTTTAGTGTGCTACTTACTTCTAGTAAATAAAGTGTGTTGAAATGCATTGATATTGCCTCGCGCTGAAATGGCGCTAACCAATGATCATCACCTGTTTCCTTACAGAATGCGGTGTATTTTTTTTGGATCATTCACAATTTTGGAAGCAGAGTGTATGAAATGAACTTTGGGGG